CATAATCACATAATCCATATTAGCTAAAAACCTACATAAGCCATATATGCCATGCATACAAACATATAAGGATGTCGTGGGCTCCTCCCAGGGTCTTACTCCAGGATGTCATGGGCTCCCCCACATGGTCTTACACCTAAGTGTCATGGGCTCCCCCATGGTCTTTAGCTGGAAAGCCATTGGCTCCCCCACATGGTCTTACATCCAGGTGTCATGGGCTCCACCATGGTCTTTACTTGAAAAGCCATGGGCTCCCCTACATGGTCTTACATCCAAGCGTCATGGGCTCCCCCATGATCTTCCCTTCAAGTATCACATATATAACTAGCATACCACTTAGCATAACTAACTATCATACCACGTATCACTACATCTGTGACAACCCGGAACTTCTTCCTTGTACATCTAGTCGATTCAATCAATGTTAAAATTGTTCTGTTAACTTCTAGCACGGTTTAAGGGTTCATTTAAGTGTTCTAAGCTTGGCTACAGTCAATGTTGAGGTTAGGAATGAGTCAACAAGTCGTATAGTGACAAAATCGGGCCATACACCCCTTTTGGAGGAGTGTGCGGCCACACACATGGGTGTACGGCCGTACACACCCCTCATGGCCACACATCCACTCTTATATAAAGGGTAGACCCCTTTCCTTTCATTCCTTTCACTCCTTGGCAGCACACTTCACCATTCTCTCAAGCTTCTGCAACCGTGAACCCTCCAAAGCTTCAAGAAACGTGAGTAATTCATCCTCTAACTTGCAAACCATGAAAGACCACTCTATCTAAGCCTTAATGCTACAAGATTCGTCATGTTCTTCATGTCTTGAAGAGTGTACGACCATACACCTTCATAAGGTGGGTCGTACACTCCTTAAAGGCTCTCCAAAGTGAGAGTTTGACCCCTATCTTTGAGCTGGACATGACCCTAGCCTGGTTGCACCTCAAAGTAGGCATTTTGGACACAAACAGGAAGGGTGTACAACCGCACACCCCTGTGTACGGCCACACACACCTTTGTGCGGCAGCACACTCCTTTGTGCGGCATCACACTCCTTTGTGCGACCACACACACACACACCATAGGACCGCAAACCCACTTCTATGACCCTTATGGACCTCAAACTTGCACTACAACTAAGTAAGGACCTAGAACACTTCATGGATGCAAGTATGAACCTTGAAAACACCTCAAAGGCACCTTCCATCATGAGTGTACGACCGCACACCCATGGTCGCACACACCTTTAAGGTGGCCATACACCTCCCTTACTCAACCCTACAAAGTTCTAACACTTAGTGCAAGTGGTTCCAAGTCCTTAGAGTGATTCCCCATCATATCTAGTAGTGAATATCTTCATTTGACTCCTTTATGTGTCATTACATGTTAATTAAGATCAAATCGTGTTCAAGGTTTCATTTGACACTCAACCTCCGTGTCGATCCTTCAATCAAACCACTCGCTCGAGGTGAGTTCATACCCCTACATTTTTCCGAGTTTTTAATGTTTTCAGGGGGGGGGGGGGAATACAAGCTAAACATAACTAATTTTATGAAAGTTACACAAACGGATTTCAGTAAACTTAAAACGGACGAAATCAGTACAAACACACAGTTTCTACAGTTTTACGAAATATTTTAGATAATTTATTCCTTCTGTATTATGCTGAGCATAAGGGACGTTTTCAACGTACAAATGTAACCACATAGTTTTCAGAACAGTACATGATTTACACTTACAAACATACAAACTATAATAGGTATAGTTTGGGAATTCATACAAGGATATACATATACGTATATCATGTTTTGCAAATACGAACACACAAACTATACTAGGTATAGTTGGGAATTCATACAAGGATATACATATACGTACATACAAACTATAAGAGGTATAGTTTGAGAATTCATACCACAGTTTACAAACTCACACTTTATAAACCTTTCAGTTATTTACAAAAAGGGTTTTCAGCATTATTACTTGTAAATTTGTTAGTCTAGTTAGAGACACGTCCTTGGTAACACTCACAAACTTAACTGGGTGAAGGACTAGTACTTGTGATCAGAATCTCTTGTAGGGAGAGCGTGACTGTTGTGTATAGATCTATACGGGACTGACTACCCGCACCTCGCTGCTAGCTACAATAGGACCGGCAGGTTTACGGGTGACAAAGTCATAAAAGATACTGGTGCCCGGTTCGTGCCATATCAAGTCGAAGTATGGTCATGACACTCAAAATGTAGATAACATCAATTTACTTATGTAATAATAACATACGAACAATACTTGTTAGTACAAGTACGGATAAATACAAGGTTTCTCAAGGAAACCTAATACTACTATACGTACTGGTAGTAACCAGGGTTTTCAAACAGAACATTTCATACAACGGTTTTTCTTAAAATGTTCATCCTACAATACATCTAGTGGTAGTTCAATCATACAACATTTTACTAAAATTCTCTCAATTTTACTAAAGAAAATATTGGATTTTCTTGGAGTCATGCAAACATTTTCAGAATTTACAACCGGTTTTCAATATGCAAACAACGCTTATGAATTCAGCAGCTTTATGCTGATACTCTTTCAAAATTGCTTGTATTCCCAGGAAATCAGTAGACAGGTACTCCTGGAGTCTGAGAAGTCGGAGCAATAAAGTCATGTCTTTGTATTTACTTACAGTTATGATGTATTTGAACATGACTTAAACATATGTAAACCTTTTTCATACATGTATCCAATGTTTGGTTGTGTTTACTATGATTGCTATGATACAATTGTTGTGATACTACGCATGACGTCCTTCACCCCAGAACGTTTCCGCTGTTCCGGTTTTGGGGTGTGACAACATCAATGAGTGTACAACATATCACAAAATGGGCCGGCCTTGGTGCCTTCAACCCATTGGTATGGTAAGGAGACTCACCTCTCAAGAATGTTGAACTGATAAGACCATATCAGCTAAATTCCAACACACGGATCCAACTCAACTGCCTATAACCATCATGTGATTAACTTGTCAAAATCCCGAAATACCATATTTACCCTCAGAGTCAAACTTGGTCAACCCTGGTCAAAGTCCAAGTCAACAGTCAAGGGCAACAGTCCATGTTGACCCCAACTCGTCGAGTGCATCTAGCAACTCGTCGAGTTCCTTTAGAGTCCAGAAAGCGGGACAAACCTAGCCAACTCACCGAGTTATCTCATCAACTCGACGAGTTCACTCGATATCTAGAAGACAGGGAAACCCAATCCAACTCGTCGAGTTGCCAGAGCAACTCGTCGAGTCCCCCCTTGTTTGCTTATTCCGATGATACGTCGATTGTAGGGACTCTAGGGCTTAGATCTGAAACCTAAAGGTGCCTAGAAGGATAAAGTTTCCAACTTTATCCTCTAGAACCACTCTAAATGCTCTAAATCCCTTAACAAAGGTTGGAAAGCTCAAAAGCTTAGCTATGTGGATCAAGACTCTAGGGATATGGAATCCCTCCTTTCCAAGAGAGGTTCTAATCCTCAAAACGTTCCAAAGATGGAGGCTTTATGGACATGCATGTCTTGAAGTCAAAAATGGCCAAAAAGAGAAAATATACTCTAAAATCCAGGCATGGCATCCATGCTTGACCAAAAGCTAGATCTAGCCCACCATGGGACCATTTTGCCATGAAGATTCATAAAGTTGCAAACTTTATGAATCTCATGCATGCAATCAACAAGAATGATGGGAAATAAAGAGTAAACTTAAGATTTAGTCATATTCTAAGATAAAAATCGAATCTTGAATGCTTACAATAGTCCACAAGATGGTCAAGCTCAAGAGTGAGGGCTTTGTTTGCTGGATCTCCTCCTTCTCCTCGCTATCTTCTTCTTCTAAGCTCCAAAAGTCACTCTAACTCACAATATGAAAGAAAATGGGGGATTATATAGGGTGCAAACCCTAAATTTTAGGGTTTTCCTTTATAGCTCAAGAGTGAGGGCTTTGTTTGCTGGATCTCCTCCTTCTCCTCGCTATCTTCTTCTTCTAAGCTCCAAAAGTCACTCTAACTCACAATATGAAAGAAAATGGGGGATTATATAGGGTGCAAACCCTAAATTTTAGGGTTTTCCTTTATAGCGCCTACTCGTCGAGTTGGGCCTTCCAACTCGTCGAGTAGGTCATAAATCCCTAGTCCCACAATGATCTCTACTCGACGAGTTGGAGCTCCCTAACTCGTCGAGTTCCAGTCTGAAATCCTAAAATTCTGAAAAGAAATTGATACCTGAATCGAGCGTTACATTTGTGTTGACTCTAGTTTAAATCTTCATTTGGTTCATTGTTTGTATGTGTATGAGAGAGAGAGAGAGAGAGAGAGAGAGAGAGAGAGAGAATCTAGGTTAAATCCTCGATGGTGGTGGTGATATTCCATTTTTCCAAAAATCAGAACTATGAAGATGTGTTTTAAGAGAGAGGGGGTGGGGTGGGTAGTTTTTTTTTTTTTTTTTGTGTAATTAAAAAATTGAAAAAGGAAAATAAAAATGGCAAAATAATCATTTTATAAAAATTCAAAATAAACTAGATCAAACTCCTAATAAAATAAAAGTTTTAGACCACTAATCCAAATTTCTTTTAATGAAATAATAATTTTCGTTATATAATAAGACCATTTTTTTTGTAGTTTGTCCAAACAAAAGGGAATTTGACTTATTAAGGTAATTAAGTATTTCGCGTGTTCACATATGGGTAATATTGTTTTTTTTGTACTCATTTACCCAATTAACTTTTTTCATCCGTTCAAAAATAACTAACATTACCGGCTATTACCTGTTTTAACCGGTAACATTGATTTAGCTCGGTTAAAAACATTACGTGGAATCTTACGTGGCCATTACACCCCTTTCTCATTTAATTAGGGTTCGTCATCGTCAGCTTGTCCAAAACACACCTCGATTACCTTCTTCTGTGAGAAAGCAATCGATACATCAAATCGACGATTAGGGCTTGGAATTGAAGTCGACTGCTAGCATGGCATCCTCATCTACAGGTATGTATGTAGCTGTAGATTTTCATTACAATGGATTCTTTTCGCCAAACCCATTGGTGTACTTAGACCCCGTAAAAACAAATGTACGTGATGTGGATTTTGGGGGATTTACGTATAAAGAGTTTCTTTTGTGGCTTACGAAATTAACCAATGGAGCCTGTGATAATGTCTACTACTGTATGCGAAAGGAAAGCTTGTGTGAGGGTATTAGAAGAATCAACAGTGATGCTGATTATTGGGAGTTTGTGGAAACTGTTTATAGTCTGGAGAGTGATAGTCTTGAGAGTGAGTTAGATGTGTACATTGACCACCAAAATGAACCAATTCTTGATTGGGCTGATAACGAGTTCTTAGCAGATGGTAAAGGGTATGAGTCGGATGAGTTGGATGCAGAGGATGACAAGGATTCTGAAGTTTCAGAGACAATGGAATATGAACATGAATGGGATGATGAAGAGGAACATACTTTTGATAAAACTGTTGGAGACCCATTCTTGGACAAACTTTCAGGACATATTAGTGATGATGATGAAGAGGAAGCAAACAATGGGAAGCTTAAGGATGTTGTGTTCCCTGTCCATAATGAGAATCAAGAATGGGAGCAAATGGTGCCAGTTTTGGGTATGAAGTTTTCTAACCCATTGGAATTGAAGTTGTGTATCACCAACTATGCAGTCAAAAATGGATATGATTTATGGTATGAGAAAAGCGATCATGAAAGGTTATTGGTAAAATGTTGTAAAGGTAAGACAAATAAACAGGGTAAAGGTTGTCCCTTTAGGTTGTGGGCAACCTGGATGAGCAGTGAAAAATTATTCCAGATTAAATCTCTGAATGATATGCATAATTGTGCAAGAGTGTTCAAATTTGGGTCCATTGTTACCTATAAATGGATAGCAAATCATTTCATGAATCATATACTTCAGAAACCAAAGATGAGTATAAGGAAGTTGAAAGCTAAAGTCAGCAAGAAATTTAATTTGATTGCAAGTGTTGGACAATGCAGAAATGCAAGGAAGTATGCATTTCAGGAGATAGAGGGTTCTTTGAAAGAAGATTATGCAAAAACATGGAGCTATGGAGAAGAGATAAGAAGGACTAACCCTGGATCAACAGTGAAGATGGATGTAGATGTCATGCCTGATGGAACCACTTATGTCTCAAAGTTTTATGTATGTTTCAAGGGATTGAAGGATGGATGGATTGAAGGTTGTAGGAGGGTAATTGGACTAGATGGTTGCTTCCTAAAGGGCATATGCAGAGGTCAATTGCTCTCTGCTATAGGTAGAGATGCAAATAACCATATATATCCTATTGCTTGGGCTGTTGTATCAGTGGAAAGTAAAGAAACATGGAAGTGGTTTATTGACCTTCTAATTGAGGACCTTGGAATGGGAGTTGGGCATGGACTAACCTTGATATCAGACCAACACAAAGTAATCAATTTCTATTTTTTCCATCTTTATTTTAGCTTATGTTATGTTTTTGTTGTTTAAGTTTTGTGTCTATTGCTAACAGGGATTACTTGAGGCTGTGAAGGAAAGGGTTTCAGCAGCAGATCATAGGCAATGTGCTAGGCACATATGTGCTAACTTCATGAAAAGGTTTAAGGGCCAACTGTTTAGAAAGATTTTCTGGTATGCTGCTGCATCTACTACCCCTGCAAAATTTGAGCAACATATGAATGAAATCAAGAAATTAGAACCACTAGCTTATGAACATTTGATGGAAAGGGACCCTAAAACTTGGAGTAAAGCATTTTTTCAGACTGATAGGGCTTGTGATGCATATGAAAATGGTATATCTGAGAGTTTCAACTCAGTGATTGAAGCTGCCAGAAAGAGACCACTAATCACCATGTTAGAAGAAATTCGAATTTATGTGATGGAGAGGCTTTATAGAGAGAAGATTAAGGGGCAATCTTGGGATTTAACCATATGTCCTACCATTAGGCTGAAGTTGTCCAAGCTTAAGGATCTTCAAAGGTAAGTGCTTAAAAATGTTTGTCCTTATATATGTTTGTCTTTTAACATGTTTGTCCTTATATATGTTTGTCTTTTAACATGTGTATGTGGACAGATTTTGGAAAGTTATACCATCTGGTTATCAACAGTATGAAGTCAGACTTGGGTATGATGCATATGTTGTGGATATTGGTAGCAGGACATGTGCCTGCAGAACTTGGCAGTTAACTGGTTACCCTTGTGTGCATGGGTATGCTTGCATTGCAAGCCTCAATAGGGATGTAGAGGAGTATGTGTCACCATGGTTTACCACATCAATGTTCTTAAACTCTTACATGTATACCATCAACCCACTCAATGGTAGTGACATGTGGCCTCATGTAGACTACATCAACCCATTGCCCCCCAAAAGGAGAAGGCTACCAGGAAGACCATCAACAAAAAGGAAAAAGGATCAGATTGAGAAGGAAAACCAAGGAAAAAATCATTCAATCACAAAAAGAGGTAGTGTGATGAAATGCAGCATATGTAGGGAAAGTGGGCATAATAGAACAACCTGTCCTCAAAAACCAATTTGGGCATCATCAAATGCAAGTTCAAAGAAAAAGAAACCCAAGAAAGCTGGTATGTTTGATATATTTATTTATATATAACTTGTATAACTTAACATATTTGGCATAACTTATCTTTTCAAGGAATACAAAACAGGTAAAGTGAAGGCTGCATTGGCACATGAAGTTGATATTGACAGTGATAGTGAAGTTGAAATAGAAGCTGAAAGTGATGTTGACTCTTTTGATCTTGAATTTGAAGATGATGTGCAACATGAAGTTGAAGATGGAGTAGAACAAGAAGTTCAAGATGGAGTGCAACTTGAAGTTCAAGATGAAGTGCAAGCTGAAGTACAACCTGAAGTTCAACCTCAAGTTCACCCTGAAGTTCAAGATGCTAACCAAGTTGATGTTCACCCTGAAGTTCAAGCTGAAGTTGAACCTGAAGTGCAAGTTCAAGTTGAAGATGCTAACCAAATTGTAGTTCAAGATCAAGTGGAAATACCAGCTTTTCAAGTTGTAGTGGGACAGAGGGCAAGGAAACCTTCAGAAAGAATTACAAAACTTAAGATAAGAAAGATGTGGGAGGGAAAACAGGGAAGCAGTGATGACAATCCGTATGAGTTGGATTAACTTTTGGCTTATTGTACTGTTATTAATGTTTTGGCATCTTTGACTGACATCTTTTAACTTTGGAATCTTTTGGCACATCTTTTGAAAACTAGTTGGAATAGCTTAAATGCATGTTTAAGTGTGTAGTGTTTAACTTTTTGCACAGCTTTTGGGTGTAATGAATGTTTAACTATGTTATGTAAAACTGTTGACACATCTTTTGAAGTCAATGTTCCCTGGAATGTTTATAATGTATTACCATCTTTTGCACATCTTTCTAATACCATTTGTATTGTTTATAATTTATTACCATCTTTTTAGAATACCAAGTGTAATCACAATTCCATTACAGTGTAATCACAATTCCATTACATTGTTTGAACAATTCCATTACAATGTTTGTACACTACCATTCCAATGATTCAATTCCATTACAATGTTTATTACTATCTTTTATACTACCAAGTTTAATAACAATTCCATTACAATGTACAATTCCATTCCAAAGATACAATGTAACCCTTTTTAATTGAAAACATCACAAAAGCATACATAATTTAGTCATACTACATCATATTATACTACATAATTTAAAACAACATTTTGACATACAAGAGAAATAAGAAAATTAATGCAAGTCTATGGGTAAACAATTTCCAATTGACTTTGTCAAGTTCTAGTTTATTTCTGTTCTTCTCTTGTTCAATCTTCATCCTGATTATGCTGATTTCATTCTCCAAGGTACAAATTTTCAAGGTAAGATTGCAGCTTTCTTCTGGTTTCATCCTGTAATGCCTTCTTCCATCTTTCCTCCCTTCATCCTCATCCAACCATTGCCAAAATTTACAGCTTGGACTTTTCCCATTCTTCAAGAAATTTATAAAAACATGTTAAATTGAAGGATGAAGAAGTAAAAAAAAATTGAATTACCAGTGAGTTTTGACAAACTCTGAATTTCCTTCCAGGATTGTCTGGGGTTCTTGATGTCTTCACACGAGATGGCAAGTCGCAATCACATGGATGATCCGGTTGCAATTCGTCTTGTTGTTTGGAAGAAAAGGATGAGGAAGAAGATGCCATCGATCGATCTAGGGTTTTAATTAATAAGCAATCGTATCTCACCCTTCTTATAATGTAAACACTTCTCAATGCCACGTAGGTGATGAGTATTGTAACGTACAAGCCACGTAGATGCCACATCATCCAAAACCTGCGATTGCCGATAATGTTGGTTATTTGTGAACGGCTGAAACAAGTTAGTTGGGTAAATGAGTACAAAAATACAATATTACCCATATGTGAACATTCGAAATACTTAATTACCTTAATAAGTCAAATTCCGCTAAACAAAACAATCCTTACCCACGTGATGGTACTTGAATCAAGTACTTTCTTTGAATTAAAAAGCTATTTCCATGTATACCTTTTCTTGTCTGTGATAGTCATTTATCACAACTGCAAGTATGGTTTTACAAAGGCAGGACCGTAGGAGGTACATTTCTCTCTCAAGGATTCGCTCCATCTCTCTTAAACATTTCTCTACTCCATTCTATAGACAATCCCTATAGGCCAGCCTTCACCACCAACACCACCGCCTGCCACCGCTTCCTAACCTTCATCATTCAGCACCACTGCAACCCTAGACGTCGCTCCCCCTCCTTCCGCCTTAAACAACCCACATCTGGGCTCTCTATCTGTTCAAAAACAGACGCAGCAACCACGATTGGGAGCTTGCTTTGGAACGAAAACTTGGATCTTGGAAAGGAAAGAAAACCCATATCATCTTTTCAACTGGTAAATATGTTTTTCTTCTATTTTCGCTTATCTATTTGCTTAATATACCTGGTTTATGTCTTTCTTATTACAGGATGACAGAAGGAGTTTTGATGGTTTTTAGCAAGGCCGTGGTTAGAGGTCAGGCTACAGATTTTGAAGGTTAGTCCTATGAAAATCGAATTCACAGTGTTTGATCTTGATATTGATGATGAAAATGAAGGTTTTTATACAAAAAATGGGAGGGAAGTACAAGTTCTTTCTTGATTCACCCAAATTGTTGTTTTTTATGCTACTATCTCTGTTCTGAATACGACCTTTAGTTTAACTTCTAATAAGAGGGGTACATGTGTCATTTTTCTATTGTGTATCAACAAAAACTTTTGTTTTCTGAAACAAAACCCTAACTATATGTATTATCTTATACAAATTACAACATATAAATATTATGAGGGACTATCTCGTCAGTTGCTTGCTTAATGTTCTTATTATTATTACTATTATTTTGTTGCAAGAGTTTAAAATGGAGAAATTCCATCATGAAAAGACATAATCTTTTTAATATTAGCAATTTTAAAATCCATAAGTTGATGCGGATATCTTTTTTCTACTATTTTAAGTTAATAATTGATTTTTAATGGGATTTAAATAAGAAACAAAGCGTGTGTTGTCCAGATGCTGAATACAGATGTGTTTCAATTAGAATGTAAAATATTCTTAGGATTCATTCCACTTTGAATGAAAATAATTGCCGTTGTTACATTATGAAATAGAATGAAATATAAGAATTATTTTTTGCGTCTTCTAAAATATACTGGTTTTAAGGCCTAATAGTCGGTTATCGACGGTAAAAGAACTTGTTTTTTTTATTTGTGCTTGTTGGATATCTACATTTCCATTTCTTGCATTTGACCTAATAAATGCAAGTATGTTACTATTTGTCGAATGTCCGTATTTTGACATCTTATATGGATGTTAGATGTACTTCCAACATATAGATATTCAACAAATAGTAATGTACTTACATTTATTAGGGCCAAATGTAAGATTTACAATGTCTTGACTAAACATATTTCAAAGTACAATGTCTTAAACTCTTAATTAAACAATGTTATAATTGAAAGATTTTTCACACACACACAAAATCAATCACACAAGCAACCACACATTTACACATACACACACCATACACTATGCGTGTTATTGCTACCGTGTGTGGTTGTATGTGTTAGTACTTGTGTGTTTGTATGCTACTGTGTGCCTGTGTTTGGTCCATATTTTGAAGTTTTCTAACAATTTTGGTCCATCGGTCATCTAAGTTAACAAAGTAAATTTTAATGCAATGTGAATATGATTCTTTGGGACTTTATACACATACAACACACATAATGTGTGTGATTTTGGCTGTGTGTGAGGAGATTGGGTTTAATTGTAAAAAAGGTAAGTTGGTTGCATTAAATGGTAAAAAATGTAAGTTGGTTGCTCTTTGGAATTTAAGATAAAATATGATGCATTTTGCTTTTAATGGTAGAAGTAGAAAGAGGTAAGTATGTTTCTAATGTACACAATTTTAAGTTCTTCGAGAAGCACAAAGTATAATATTTATTCCTCTCTCTCTCTCTCTCTCTCTCTCTCTCTCTCTCTCTCTCTCCTCTTGTAATTTGAGTAACGCATCAACATAAGTGAAAGATGCTCAATTTTGGTGGTTTTTGTTTCGATTCTTCGTATTGATTAATCCAATCTCATCATTCTTGGCTACTCCTCTCAATCTCTCTCTCTCTCTCTCTCTCTCTCTCTCTCTCTCTCTCTCTCTCTCTCTCTCTCTCGTGTGTTTTGTAATTTAAGTAACGCATCAACATAAAGTGAAATGAGTGCTCATCTTTGTTGGTTTTGTTTCGATTCTAATATTTCTTCAGATTCTAATAAATAAACCACACAGCTTCGTTCCTTAAAGACTCCATGGCTAAACCAATCACTGGGCATCATTTTAGGCATCAAAACCTTTCAATATACTCCTGATAGTTATACTATCCGTACCATTGAACAATTCAGTCTTAGTTTGAATTCCATAATAGTCCATCGACAGTTGCAATTTATCGTCATATTTTTCTTTTAATCGAAAGCTTAGGATATATACTTCCAAAACCCCTTTACTAGCATGTTAGCATCACTTTTCCTTTGCCATGTCACACGTGAAAGGACTGACAGTTGTCTTCTGATTTTGGTAGTGTGATATAGTTCCCCAGTTATTATCTTGGGTCGGTATGTGATTTGTGTGGATCTTTCTAGGAAATCTGGGAATCGTTTGTTCCGGAAATATTCAAGAATCTCTATGTCAACTCCTGTTTTTTGGAGATGGAGAGTCAGACAACTTCCGAGAACAACTTTGCGAGCTTTATACAATTTTTGGACATTGCATTGTATGCAAATGCCATATGGCAGTTTGATATGACTCCTACATGTCTATCGCCTAAAAAAGCAATGTTAAAAAATTAGGCAGAGCACGCAAAGTTCTTCTCAGAAGTTATCTGAATCCCCAAAAATAGGTGTTGACACAGAGATCCCTGACTATGTCTAAGCCAAATTATTTCTAGATTTCCTTGAAAGACGTGCCCGAATCACATATCGTTCAAGACGGTAATTGGGAAACCATATCACATTGCCAAAATCAAAACACAACAAATTGCTAACTCCTTCACAGGTGACATGACAAAGGAAAAAATTGATGCTGACATGTTAGTAAAGAGGTTTTGGGAGTATATCTTTGAAGATTCTTAATTAGAAGAAAAACATGATAATAAATTGCAACTGTTGGACTATTATGAAATTCAAGCTGAGATTATATTGTTCAACGTTACTGTTAGTATTAGGAGTATGTTGAAACGATTTGATGCCTGGAATGATGCTTAAGTGGTTGGTTTGGCAGTAGAGTCTTTAAGAAACTAAGGTAGGGAGTGGTTTAACAATGTCACATGTGATGTGATTGCTATTGAAACACAAGAGTCTGGTTGGTATTATGTGACATATCAACAAAACCAACAAAGATGTCATTTTTTGAGTTTTCCATAGAGCGTGCATGAAACGTCTATTAAATTTAAGAAAAGTAAAACAAATGTAGTGGTTTAGTAGATATGTTGATATGGCTCCTACATGTCCGTTGCCTATGTAACTTGTAAAATGCCGCACAACTTCATGAATTGATAAACAATATTCTTACAATATTAATGCAAAAAACCAAGAAAATGTATGTTTTGTGAGATGGAATGGAATGGAGTAGAGGGAGATCAGGACAAAGCTTATGGGTTTGGATTACATAATAAATCATCCAGATGCTAATGTTGCAGCTGCAGTCACTCAAAAATCAGGCTTAAAAGATGGCTCACTAGCTCTATTGCTGATATACCTCAATAAAGGGTATGAGACAATGATCAAGCAAACTTTTACTTCGAAACTTTGATCTTTTCTACTTTAAAATGTCGTCAAGATTGTTTCTTTTCTTTTTTTATCCATGTGTTTTAAAAATGACTTTCCCTATTACAACATTTGAAATTTCGAGAAATGAAGCTTAGCAGTTTTATGAACACACAACTTCATCTTGAAATCAACGTTTTCTTGGATTTTTTGCTCCACAGCAAACTGATCCAATCCTCACATAAAAAGTTAAAAACTAACAAAATATGTTCGTTTCTGCAAGAGATTCTCCACTAGATCTTGAATTTGGAGAAAAAAAATAAGAGGATAATGCCTGAATGTTAACAGATGTAATTATTACTTGAATATTGCAAGTTATTTAAACCTTAATGCTATTTAGATGAACTTTAATATGCCAGGGTTCTCACTAGGTGCATTTTTAGTATCATTTTAATTAAGAGTGGTAAATAATTCTATGTTCAGGACTTTCCACACTTGTACCTTTTGCTGTAGACATGTACTAGGTGCAAGTACCGAGTTGTATTTTTCTATTAGCTCGTTTACTATTTTTTTTTTTTAAATTTTTTAAAATTATTATTTACTTTTTTACTTGACTTAGTTGTCACCTTTGCCGAACTGCCTCAATTTTTACAGGCAAAAAATCAAATGGATACCAAGTTTTCTATTTTTTTGTTTGATCGCCTAAGTTGAATACTTATTGTGTGTTACATATCGCCTAAATAATTAAAGGTTATGGTCACTCTAGCCCAACAATATTTAGTATATTGGTTTAAAAGGTCACTCGCAATTTTTTTTGCATTTTAGGGGTACATACTTGTGTTTTACCGTTTTAAAATGTCACTATCAAAAATATGAAGGGTTCACCCGGTGAACCCCTTCCAAATCTTCAATTTTGACATGCCGCGTGGCATTTGGTCAAGATGAAATTTGTATCAACATGATCCAGGCTTAGGATTATCTTCCATGAGTGATAGTAAGAGTCAAAGATGAAATTTTCCAAAAAAGTCAAACCACTAAGTTTCTTTACATACAAGTCAAAATTAACACAAAAAATGTTGACATCGAAGTTGGACCAGTAAAGTAAAGTATCGATTGAATCCAACTTACTTCTATACAATCCTCTTTCTGCAAACCCAATTCCGCGAAGTTTTTGTTCTCTATAGCCAACATTGCGTCGATTGAAAAAAGAAGAAGGTAGGCAAGGAAAACGAGGACGGATCATCGTCGAGGAAGGCGATTTCTCCTTCTATTTGTGCTTGGCTATGGAAGAAATCTGACTGGTTATAATCGAAATACGCCCATCTCAAAACATTGTAGTTCAAACACATCTATAACCTCGTCCCGGGTAAATTTAGGTTATTATATCGCATAAAAACTCCACAAAATGAAGAGCACCATAAAGAGGTCCAATTCAATATATTTTATCAATACCAATCCTACTTGTGTACATATAACCGAAACTAAAATCAACCCAGACGAGAAAACACAACAAAATCCATAATTAGGAGTTGAATTTCATCAAAATCTAAATCTAAATCTAAATCGCTAATCGAATCAAACGGGTTTAAAGCCTTACCTGAAATGTGAGTTTGCTTCTGTTTTCTCCTGGAAACCCCCTTATACATGAGAAAGAAAAGGGGTGTTTTTGTAGTCTGTACAGATGCGATGGAAAGGGAGATGGTCAGGGATCGATGGAAGATGGTTGTCGGAGGAAGCAGGTTGTCGGAGGAATCGTAACGATGGCAGATCGTTGTCGGAGGAAAATGGTTGACGAAGGAGATGACACCTGATGATCGATGGAGGGGTGTTGATATGACCCTAATTTTAAACCCACCAATAAGACCAAAATTTACAACTCCATAGAAGGGGGTACAATTTGCCATGGAAGCTTATACAGAGAAAAGCATAGAGTTTAGAGAAAGAGTAGAAATGTGATTGAGAAGCTCATCTAAAAATAAGTGGAACCCGAGAGTACAAATGCGAAGTCAACAAAAGTATAACAAATAAAAAGTGGGCCCATAAGGT